ATTATGGTGAATGATGCAGTTGGTGAATAAGAAGAAGGAGCAGATGATGAATGCGGTGTCTCCTACTCAACGCAATTTTCAGGAGGTAATAATTTATCCCTTTTTGTTTGCTTTTAGGTTTTATTTTCATTTTTAATTTATAAAAGTTCAGGAGGTAATAATTTATCCCTTTTTGTTTGCTTTTAGGTTTTATTTTCATTTTTAATTTATAAAAGGTTTTTTTACCTTTCTTCTCTTTTTTGGGGTCAGTGTATGATGGAGCCGGCGAATCATTACCCAATCTCGGAGGATGATAATTCTTCGTTGAGACAAATTCCTTCTCCCTTTTCGTTTTTGTGTTACAGGTAATCGTTACCCAATCTGTATGCATCGACCTCAAGGATTTTTTAGCTTCCTCAATGTGTCATTTTATCGAGCATGTTTCTGGCATCTTTTTTCATGTAAACCTTAGAGGTTCTAGCACTGGTTTTTGTTGTAGAATGCTAGTCTTTGGAATTGAATCTTCTTTTTATTTTTTGCAGGATCCTTCACCTAGTTAAGGTTGAAACATTTTAGTTGAACAAGAGGAGAAAAAGCAGCTATGCAAGAAACTCCAAGATGCAGAAAATGAGTGTAAGCACACTAAAGAGCAGTTACAATTTACAAACTTAATTTCATCCTCTTTTTTTAAATGAAATTGTCATTCTTAGTCGAATGATTTAATTTTTTAGAACCTTTGTATTTGTTAACCTACCTGCTTCTGTACCTCTAGATAAATTTTACTTGCTTTCTAGATTGTAGAGTGATTGCGTTAATGACATATGTGTGTAAAATATAGAAGTACCACTTTATGTTTGTCTTGTGGCTATTTAGAATTTTCAATCTCTGGAGCATGGGCAGATAATTTAACTACCAACAGTGTTTTGTGTTAGTGTTATTCATGTATAATGGTAGTGATTAAATCTTCAATAACAAATTATTTCTTTTAGGATATTTTTCCGCAGCTTTAGTACTAATAAGTACTATAGAAGGGTTAAACTACTCATGTCATACTCTTAACATTCATGCTTTATTGATCTAAATCCTTGATGACTATCATTCTTGTCATTCTTCAATTCAGCCAGCAGTGGAAAAACAAGTAATGGAAGATATCTAAGCAAAGCCGACCTTAGGAAAGATGCACGCAGAATGAGAAATGGGCCGGGAAGAAATTGTATGGGCGCAAGAGTTGAAATTTCAAAGGGATATATGCCTAATAGTTTCGACCAGGTTCTTCTTGATGCTCCTTGTTCTGCCCTTGGTCTTAGACCTCGATTATTTGCTGGGGAGGTAAAGTTTATTTCTACCCTTTTTCTTTATAGTTTTATCTGCTGCTTACATTTGTTTGTTCTTTTGCTGTGTAGGCAATTTTAACTAGTCAATATAGAAACTCTACTACAGCATCTAGGTTACATCTAATTGTTTTTTTGCGAAATGGTAAACATATTTCGAATATTGAAATATAGTTGTTGCTGAACAACATATACCTAGCATTTCCAAATTCATGGAAGGAACATGTAAATTCTTGTTGATGAACTTATCATAAACAACAAAGAAGAAACCTTTCCTGGGGCCTCCACCCATTATTTAGGTGCAGCTAACAAAATGAAAATAAGATACACCAAAACTTTGTGTTTCGAGAGAAATAAAGAGATCGATCTAGAACAGTGCCAGATTTTATTTCTATTATTTTGGACTAGTTTACAGGCGAAACATGTAAATTAAAGCATGACTTGTCCAATGATAATTCCTTCCCTTTTTTTTACGATGGTGGTCTCATCTGGAAGAGAAGCGGGCATACTCATTTTGCAGAAAAATATTCACAGGACAAAACATGACAATTGCGCGATAAACTACACAAATTAGGCTTGCATAGATGCTTATGCTTTATGAGTGTTCTGGACGAAGATGAAGCTAGGAGTTGGTGACTGCAGAATTTTTTTTGTCTCTTAACAGTACTGTTCCCCTCAGGTTAATGAAATGCTCATCAATGTTGGATAAATTTTTTTTTTGTTTTGTTGTGGGAACTCAGCCGCCCTCGTGTTTAACAAAGCTACCTTATTTTTTCTTAATGCCTAACTCCGAGAAAAATAGGCCCGTATCTCTACTCATGTTGCTTGTATCTATGTAGTCTTCCAGCTGATTGGTGTCCAAGCATCTGGATAAATGGTGGTTGCCTCCTAATTACATGCAGAGAGAGATTTATCACCTTCCTAGTGGGGTTGTGAGATTTGGGAGTTCATTTGTTGACGGATCATAATTAGGCTGATCTAGAAATGAGAACTTCTTATTCTTAGGAGCAAGATTCTTGGCTTTTGGTCTGTGTGGTGTTTGTATGGCTGTTTTTGATGATGGTGTTGTTTTACCTAATGTCTTGTTGGTGCCTTAATGTTCTTGTTGATTATATTTGCCAACTTTAGTAATGATAACTCCGAGCCATTCTTAGTTTACCTACTAGCGGGAGCCATTCTTAGTTTACCTACTAGCGGATGTTGCAAGGATGAAGGAATGAGGATTTGCTGATGGTGGTGGTGATGGAGGGGGTGGGGGGTTGAGTGTGGTTGGTGGGTGGTGTTGGGAGATTTGTGGTGGTGGTGATGTTGTTGTTGTGTTGTGTTGTGTTGTGGTGAGCGTTATTTGATTGGTTGGTGTCAGGTTTGGTCGTGGTGGGTGGGTGGGTGGCGGCTTTGGTGTGGATTTGGTCGTGGTTGAGGGGGGGGTGCGGATTTGGTGTGTGTACGCGTGCGTGCGTGTATATAAGAATATGTGCGTGCGTATAATACATAAGAATATGCCATGATACTCTCTCTTATTGCTATACTTGCATGTCATGCCATATTGTTAACGTTTGATTTATATTTGCAGGCTTGAACTTCTAGACAAGGTGGAGCTTGTGATGAGGATGATGATGATCAGAAGGACTGATTTGTTTTTTTTTTACCTTTGAAAACAATGAGTGTGTGTTGTATAAATAATATTTATCATGGTGTGTGTTGTATAAATAATTTTAATTATGTTGGGATATTTTTATTAAAATATATGTTATATATGCGTGGGAATGAATATTATACTGCTGATTGAACATGGTTTTAAATTTATTATATTATTGTACAGGTTTTTTCAATTTTTAAAATAATTTTTAAAAAATATTAAAAATATTTAGCCACGGATTAACCGTCGCTATAGACCCTTTTAGCGACGGAAAACATACACGGGGACATGCTAATAGCGACGATTTTTCCGTCGCTAATGTAACTTTTAGCGACAGATATTTCCATTGCTAAAAGAATCATTAGCGACGGATTTTCCGTGGCTAAAAGATACATTAGCGACAGATTTTCCGTCGCTAAAAGTTACATTAGCGACGGAATTTTTTCTTTTTTTAAAAAAAATAGAAAATAGAACGACGGATTTTCCGTTGCTAATTTTCCGTCGCTAACTTTTAGCGACGGAAAATCCGTCGCTAAAAGTAATTTTAGCTACCCTCAATGTACTGACGGTATTTTGGCGACGGAATTTTATTTTTTCCGTCGCTAAAACTTTTAGCGACGGATTTTCGACTTTTAGCGACGGATTTGTCCGTCGCTAAAAGTCTCATTTCTAGCAGTGATGCACGATCCAGGAGTGGGTCATTGGGACGCTGTGAAATGAATTTTGAGGTACATTCGAGGTACGCTCAATGTTGGTTTGGTTTATGAGCGGAACACTACAGGTGGGTAATTATACATTGGTTATGTTGATTCGGATTATGCCGGGGATTTGGATAAGCGCCGGTCTACGACGGGGTATGTGTTCACTTTGACCCGTGCGCCGGTGTGTTGGAGATGCACCTTACAGTCTACGGTGACTTTGTCTACGACGGAGGCAGAGGATATGGCAGTTACGGAGGCTGTGAAGGAGGCTATTTGGCTTCGAGGACTTTTGGAGGAACTTGGTATATCGCAGAGGTCCGTCACTATTCATTGTGATAGCATGAGTGCTATCTATTTGGCGAAGAATCAGGTTTTTCATGCGCGGACGAAGCACATTGATATTCGTTATCACTTCGTTCGAGATGTTCTTGAAGATGGCGATGTGGAGATTGTTAAAGTCCACACGAAGGATAATCCAGCAGATATGCTCACTAAGGTGGTTCCGAGCAACAAGTTTGATCATTGTCGAAACTTGTTGCACATTCGTGATTGTTGAGGCCGTTGGCGGCCATTTGGTGAACTACGTTCGGCTTGATTCCTTGGGCAAGAGGATAGGTAGGCAGTCTTTCAGATGCAGCCGGTTTGGATTAGTTGATGGGGTGAGATTGTTTGGAATCTCGTTCGGGTTCTCAACTTGTTGTGGATTGAGTTCGTACTGGACACAACAAGTTGGGACATTTGGATGCTTTGGTGTCGGCTTGGAGCAGGTGCGAAGGAGTTCTTGGTTTTTATTTTGCGGCTGCAGTTGAAGAGATTTTGTGTAGTCCCTTTATCTAGGGTTTTGTGCATCTCTTTGAGAGAGTATTTGTGTGAGGGATTTGAGAGTTTGTTTGAGTGTTTAGATTGAGTGATTGTAAACCCTAGTTGTATTCTCTCCCTCTATTAGTAGATCTCCCCCCTCCTTGCCCCGTGGACGTAGGCAATTTGCCGAACCACATAAAATTGGTTGTACTGCTATTTGGGTGATTTATAATAGCTTTTTAGGTTCCCTCGACGCGCAGTCCTAGAGCTGACGAGAGGAAGAGCTAATATCTCACTTTGATGAGATATTAGGCTTCAGATTCTTGTTCCCTTTGAGAAACAAGAATTCTTATTGCGATCTGACTCTCTTGTTGTGCTGCTGAAGTGCTGCCGAAATTTCCGCTGCGCGCAACATTAACAATGACTCGTTTCGAGCACAAAATAAAAACACGAATGTAAAATTTTTAGATGTGAAGCGAATTGCAACCGTCTAATTTAAATAACAAATGATTATGAAAGGGAGGGGGAGAGGGAGGGACCATCAGCGTATGCAGAACTAATTAATAGGGTACTAATTATTAATATCACAACATACGGTTTCAAACCAAAACCGGCTACAGTATTACAAATTACACGTGATTAAACTTTTAATTAAGTTTAGCTTATAACACTGACTAAAGCCTCTCGCGCGACTCCTACAATACAAAGAAGCTCTAAGATCCGACTGATCTTTCACTTAGTACTCCTTCGATCACTTTTAAAATTAATATAATCTAGTCGAACAACATTAGATATATCTTAAGCTTTCCCGGGACTCTTTGGATCATGGCGGTTGTTTGCCCCAGAACCAGGATAATCATCAACCTCCAGGCTCATTCTCCCTTCTCCAAACGCTTCCTCCTCCGTTGCCATCTGATCCGTAGTCATCGCCTGCACCAAAATAATCAAATCAAACCCTAATAAAAGAGCATGGAGCTTGTATTGTTTGGGAAATTAAATAATCACGCCGACTTGTTAGCCAGTTCGCATTCACACCTGCGAGATGCGAATCGCTGAGCATGTAGACGTTCCCACTTCGATCTCACTCCCCAAAAATTGAAATAATATCTTGATTGTTTACTAATTATCTATGCCAGAAGTAAAAAAAAAAAAGATTGAGATTGCGCGCCATCGCTTACAAAACTACGTACGTACCGAATGCGGGGGTGCGTGGGTAGGGAGGTCTCCCAGGCCGGAGGCATTCTCGCTGGGCGATCAGTAGAGGGCAAGGGTCTCAAGGGGCATGCAGCGTCCTTGGAATCAAAGTTTAATTTATGATTCGTATGACGAGTATTTTTTAGCCCTTTAGCTGGATAGAAACTCTATGCTACAAATATGTATCTTCAGTCGCTTTTTTTTTTTTTTTTTGGTATCGGAGAAACGATACGGAGATGAGATTAGTCTTTATGCGATCGGCTGTCCTCGTCGATTATGAGCAGAACCATGCATGATATATATGGTTATGCTCCAAGAACATAGGTAGTCTCGATGCATCAAGAACTGTTTACTCTTTGAGCAGAGCAAAATAGAATAAAATGGATAATCATGCATTGATCTAATTAGGAGTTTCTTGAGTGAGAAAGATATTAATTAATTACCTCTTGCGCTGAAGCTCCCTGCTGATTATAACCTGAAATGCTTTCTACAGCAATACCCACAAAAGAAATCAGCATAACAAATATAGTAAATCCTTACGTAACAAAAAAAATAATAATAATCTGCCTAGTACAGAAATTAATTAGAAAAAAAAATTTGAAAATAGAACCGATACGGAGAGTAGTACTGCGAGATAGAGGCGCCGCATTCAGAGACACGAGGTAAGAACAGCACAGTAGCAGAGCAAAGAGTCGAAACAAAGCCTTCTTCTTGCCCATCATCTACGGTGCCCCTGATCAACAAGTGGTGATCAATGAAAAGGAGGTGATGAGGTTTATATAGCGCGAAAAAGAGAGTTTCATGTCACATAGTCAACCTCCCTCTTTAGCCTTGTTGTCTCACAGAGTACTGTTGAAAACGCATGATGGCCCCAATTGATGCCCCCATAGCGTTCAATTCTCAACACATGTATCTATGTCGATGATGTGCTTCAAAACCTAACTTGTGAATGATTGAGGTCATTCTCCACTACCGTACGTTTAGTGACTGCAACGTTGTATTGCTCATTGGCGCTGTTAGCTCCACAAAGCTGAAACTTATAGGTCTCAAATGCTTGAATTTTCTTACTATAGCATCATGAGAGCGAGATACATTTTCAAAGACTCTAAGGTACTAAAAAAAACCATATTTATTTATTTTATTATGCGTTCATGGTGTACATGATGAAAAAACAAAAGCATTCTAATATGAAACGAAAGAACCATCACGAACCCTCACCACACTTTTCAAGCTTCGGTGTAGTGGAACGGAACTTAAATTGGTGTTGAAATGACCCAGATTCAAAATTCACCAGACGTATATTTAAAGTGGATTAATAAATAAAAAACATTATCAGCGCATAAAATAGTCTAGATTTTTAGTACGTGACAAAGGTAGTGCAACTTGTGGAATTTGGAGGTGAGATTAGGAGAATGCATCCTAGTTATTGAAGCTATTTATATCTAGATGTCATGATAACTTCTAAATTACACGGAGTAAATATGAGAAATAAAATTGAAAAAGCGACTGAATTGAAATGAATGCAATATACAACAAGTATCTTCTTAACCATGAAACGGCTGGTGTACTCTTAAAAGGGTTTTTTTCCAACTTAGAAATCCCCCTTAAAATAGGATCATTTTGTAGAAATCGCATTTGGTTTTTTTATTGCAATCAACTACCTGGACTCATCTTTGAGCTAAGATTTCTTGTTTTCTTTTTCCTATTTTGTTGCTATAATTAGCTGTCAAGTATCAATTATATTGCAGAGATAATCCTTAATAGAGGTTAGATGAGGTCAATTACCGAAAAAATAACTGAAAAGTGGGTCCAGGTAATAGATTGCAACAAAAAAACTCATTTAAAGGTAATTTATATATAAATTAAAAATCAAAGGTGGTTTTTATAGTGACCCTATTTTAAAGGTGATTTCTAGCAAATCCCCTCTTAAAAAAACTTTATGGAACAAGATATTTTCTATGGACAGGGTTGCATATTAAATTTTGTTGACTTAATTGAATGCCAAATGTATAAATAGTCCACCAATATAGAAAAGGTAAATAAATGCCAAAGCCCATCATGGAGAGCAATTAGGTCCACCACAAAAAGTGGCGCATGTCTTCCAACAAGTAAAGCAAACAAGAGCACTAAAGATGATAACTACCACCAGGACGCTGAGTAAAACACGAACGACGTCCAAGCCCTGAAGAAATCAAATGCGTCAACCACTACTTTTTACTTGTCAGAATTAGCATTGGCCGTCATTATTCTTGCCGCGCGTTGGCCCTCCTGACTACTTTAAAACTCTTGTTCTAGCGTAAGCATGTGTGCTGATGTGTACTTATAGGATGATTAATCCCCAAAGATCACATTAGTTTATTACTTCGTGAAGGCTTCGGTTCTTGGGGACCAATTGATTTGTGGCACATTGTTGTTTTAAAGAGAGAGTCATGAACAGTGATTGTTGCTGGTGTTGCCATCATGAGGTGAATAAACTCTTTTTATTACTCGTCAAGTGGATAACAGAGTATGAGGAACTGATTATTTTGTAGACGAAGAGATTCACCTTGTGATCATTCTAATACTAGTAAGCAAGTAATATTAAAATTAAAGTCAAGTTAGCACTGTCCTTATCTGAAACATTCTTCACATGAAAAATTAGCTTATGGGAACACTATTACATACCATTTGATAAACCTTAATACCATCATACCTTTAGATTTTTGGTGGTATGGTGTAGAGAATTTTAACATGGTAGCAAAACAACTGGTCAGGATGCAAATACTATCAATCACACGTTTAAAGTGGATTCAAAAAGAGACATTATCGTTAGTCCATGTTTCGATCCATGAAAATGCTCAGTCTATGAAGATGTTTCCCACATAAAACTATAAATCATCGTAATTTCAGAATTTTGATAGAGTAAAAAGTAACTTCTAACGGTGCCATTTATAATATCTTATTGTTCGTAACATCAGTGAACACTCGATGTGCTATATGGCCACTGTTGAGCGCTGCGGAAGCCAAACAACCAAACCAACGTGCTACGAGAAATCAAATCAAACGAACGTCGAGAGAAGGCCAAACGAACCAAATCAATGCCACAAGCACAAACAACCAATTTTAACATGGTTCGGCAAGTTGCCTACGTCCACGGGGTAAGAAGGGGATATGAATTTTCACTAATAGAGAAGAAGTGTACAAACTGAGATTACAAATCACTCAAATTCACCAATTAATCTCACCAACAAATCTCTAATTCTCTTCAAACAAAACTCTAACCAATAGCTCAGAAAATACTTCTTTTCTGTGCTCCAAATATCCCTAATTTTTTTCTCAATTCTCTCTTCCAATTGTTCCATATATATAAAAATCCTAAAATCATAAACATACTAGGAATTCTAAAACAAAAAACAAAACAGATTAGGAATCCTAATAACCTATTACCAAAACAGATTTGGGATCATGTTATCAAAACAGATTAGGAATCCCAATAACCGGTACCAAAACAAATTAGGAAACATATTAGGAACCTGCTATCCAACAATTCTTCACATCGGTAAAGTTTTTCCAAAACTAAGCCGACACCAATACTAATCAAACGTCTCACTTGTTGCGTCCAGTACGAAGTGGAACAAATCCACGACAACGGACTCAATCCACAACAAGTCGAGAACCCAAACGAGAGTGCAAACAAACTCTAAATATCGGTATCAACTCACCAAACCGACTGCATCATAAATGATTGTCTACGTATCCTCTTGCCTAAGGAATCAAGCCTTCACGTTGTTCACCCAAACGGACTCCAAAGGCCCTTAATCAAATAAAAAAGTTTGCAACTCTTCACCAATATCACCAACGGATCTGCAACTGATAACGCTCCTAATGATCCAAACTGAAACAAATCAAACACCTCCACCTGAGGTGAACCAATGACCGTATCCAAAACATGTCCATCAGCTGCACTCGAATCCAAAACCAACTCATCATCTGTATCCAAATCCAAATGATCTCCAATCTGTGTCACCTCAGCTAGAATCTCAAACGATGCAGTATGATCTGGAGTATGTGGAGTAATCTCTACCCAATATAAAGTAGCATCACCCTCCACCCGCTGTGATATCCCAATGATCTGATCAATACTCTCCACCTGCTGAGAGTCAAATGTGATATACCTATTCAGAACAAAATCAGAAGCTCCTAATTGATAATCAAACGAACCTCTGAATTCCAAACGTACAATCGGATCAAATATCACATCCTCGATGTGACCAAATGTTGGTCAACCAAATATCCGACGCAACCTAAAATCTAAAGCAGCTCCACCAGATCCAAAATCTCCACACGCAGCAGTCGGCAACCTATGATCAAGATGACCCAAATATGTCGAAGCTTCAAAACCAAAACCAATGCTCGACAACCAACACTGATCCCCTCCAGTAAGGAATGACCCATCAAAACTATCATCTCATCTCGTCGCCCCAATGTCTCCATATCAATGAAGTGTCTCAAACTGCCATGAGCTCGGTACAAATAGAAGAAAGAACTCCTACCAAAGCTAGAATGACGGGTTACCTTTCTGTCAAAATACTTCTTCCAATTGTTGTTGACTTCTAGGGATTTCACACCAACGGGACCTGGTTGTAACCCACAAATACCTAGAACAATCCCCAATTGTGGAAACCAAATATCAATTACCTTCCAATGATGCCTCCTTGGAAGGCCCCAAAATGCCTGACTGGACACCACCTAAAAGACCCCTCGATCGATGGATAGAAGTGTCAAACTCCATCTCGGTCTTCTTGCTCATACTAATGTGCTCAAAGGACTTCAATCTGTAGGTCAAAGCGCTCCTCAACAGACCATGCAGGCATAACCAATCAAATAACCCAGCCTTAACAAATATCACAGTCTAGTCAAATCCAAAAACATCGTCAGCTCTCTTTCAAACACCGTGCTCTCAATCAAATAATACAAATTATTCCTCCTGACGCCCTTCATCACAATCATGGACCTCAATGTGACCTTCAAACGTGAATCGATCAAGGTCACCCTATAGCCTGCTACCTCCAAAACTCCAAGTGAAATGATGTTCTTCTTCAACTGAGGAACGAATCTCACTCCAACCAACTCCCGAATCACTCCGTCACTCATCCTAATCTGAACGATATTGATACCATCAATAGGAAATTCATGATCATTACCCATGAGCACGACCTCCCCTCTTTCCAACTCCTAAAAGCTGGAGAACCAGTCCTTCCTAGGACAAATATGGTAAGAAGCACCTGAATCCAACATCCACTCTATAGAGTCGGCAACACAAACTGACGGTAGTGCAAATAACGAGTAGCCCGAAGAATACGAATCTAAATTATTGTCACTAGTCTTGACAACATTCATCTCTGAAGCTTGAATAACTTTCTTCTTATTCTTCCCGACTCGATCAACCAACTTTGGGTATTCGGCTTTTTAATGTCTATCCTCTTTACAAAAGGCACACTGATTTCTACAAACTCTAAGATGTGCCCCTCTAGACTACGACCTCCTACCATGGTTTGGACTCTTTTCTCTTGCGACCAATGCTCTCGCTACCGGCTCAACTGAAGTCTCATTATCCTTCTTTCGAAGCTGATAATTTATAAGTACAGCGGTGACCTCACTATAAGAAAGAGATACATTCCCATTAATAAGAGTAAGAACGAATGTCTCATATTCCTCGTCAAGCAAGGAACTCAACAACAACAACGCCTTGTCCTTATCTTCAATCATCACATCTACATTCGCTAAATCTGCAAGAAGCTACATGTAGTATTTTATGTGATCACCAATGGAGGTCTCATTCTTCAATTGGAAGCGATAAAGCCTCCTCTTCAAATGCAAGTGGTTCTTTACATTCATGGTCAAATACTTGCCATCTAGGATCTACCAAATCTTCTTAGCCAAAATCTTATTGATCACATCATATTTTAAATCTTGAGTCAAACA